AGATTATCTATAATATAATAAAAGGGTGTTAGAGGCAAGTATAACTTGTTTAAATATTGCGGTTCTTAGTAGATATTTCATAGCTGATATAAATAATGATGTGATATGGTATGTAAACTGCTGAGCTATGACCGAAATCCGTATTTAACAAATGGTTTTGTTCATCGATAATTAAACATATGTGATATTAACTTGTCATCAACAAAAAACGTAAAGCATTACAAAATTCCAACGTTTATTCAAAGTTCCACTCCAAACTGGCCATAAGCTGCCGATAACATCCTCGTAACCATCTTTTAAAGCACGGTAGTCGTCGCAGTGCGCATGTGTATCATTTGTGTTGATAAACATTGATTTTCCCACAATCCAATGCGTTCTTCAAATGGAAAACACAAGTATGAGGTTTGACCTGGGCGCGACTTGCATTGATTACCGACAGTGACTCCTTCGATACCTTCCAATCACATAAAAATTGCCTAATTAAAACTTGGAAACGTCTCAGTTCGTACTCGTTGATCTGCGAAACAGTCAAAGTGGCCATCTTTATTTATATGAAACCCATATATCTCGCACATGCGCAGCGCGACGACTACCGAGCTTTAACTACCAGTAATTATATATATTCGTCTACATAGCATCACAGCTTTACGCCAAAATGCAAAAACGAAACTTTTTATAAATGTGTGCAAAATATGTATTTCTATTTTAGTGTTTGTTTATAAGCAAACAATGCTCAACGCGGTTATATTTTACTACCATGCCATGACCGAGGACGGAGCATCTTGTCGAGCATTCTGGTCATCCAACATAGGTAGATAGGGATATTTTTTATGTTGAAAGCATTAGCCTTGTAGTTTGTTGTGTTTTAAAGACGTGTTCATAGTTTAGAGAAACAACTCCTATATGCAGTATGATTCCAGTCATTAGGTCTAACTCAGGTGTCAGAGACTCCAGCTTCTCTACAAATCGTTCCAAGATGGTATCATTGGTAAAAACAAAATCGTCATCAACAACCAATAAGTAGTGTGCGCACCTGACTGACCAATATATTCCTTCCAGTATTATAATCTTCTAAAACGGCATCAGGAAATATTTCAAATTGTTTCCATCAAGATTTTGTTTTTTTACGAAAATCATCTGCAATTATTATTGCTGCGTTCGGATAGAATGTGCTGACACTTCGAATATGTCTCTTAACACATTCATACCGTTCAAATGTCTTAGCTATAAGAGGGACTTTACCCGCTGATGTTATAAGTTTTTTGATCAGTGTGGGCACACGAGTTTTAAAAATATGATATGGAATATGATATGGAGATTAAGCATGGAAACGTCAACATAATCTGTCTGTGCTATAACTAATGTAGTGTACGAGGACGCTATTAATTTGGTTAATAGTTTTTGAGTCTGCATTAAAACGTGGCCACTGTTATTTCCTTCTATATGCGGTGAATATGTTATTGTAAATAGCTCTACATATATGTGGCATAAAATAATGGATGGAAATCAGTGCTATTTACAGTTGGTAAACCCAGTTGTAGCATGGAGAGTTATTATTTGATGTAGTCTCCGTCATTACAGAGTAGAAGGAACCCCGGCAATGTGTGTCAGTCACCAGGCGTTGATTAGAGTAGATTATTCAGTCGCCTTTGATCAGTTGATCACTCAGAGCATTTTCCCAGATTTCATTATCCAGCTGTACGGGTTAGCTACCCCCATTCAAAAAAAGACATAATTATGCCACACAATGACATCATGAACTCTCAATTGTCCATGCACAGAATGTCACGACTCCACAGTGCCATCGCTAGGGTGAATGCGTTTTTAAAACGAGGTTAACATGTACAGATATTCATCCAGCTGTAAAATACGAATTCGAAAATTTCGCGATTATCACTATGGTAACCATATAATCTGACCATGTTCAAACAAATTCCAAAAAGACACAACACTAAGCTAAATGCAATAGCACATACAAATATTATTTACGTGTGTATTTACCTATCTAAGGTTAATTTAAGTTTATAATATGCAAAGAAATGCACAATTTGACATATATTATTAATATCATAAAAACATTGACAGTGAAAGACACAGAAGGCAATTAATTACATTCATTCTTCATGAATTTCAATAAATTTATATTGCATTAAGGAATAGCGTGTCACATTTCTTTGCCAACTTTTACAAAATCACCTATACTAAGACAATGTTTTCCCTGTGTACTTTGACTAGTTTAAATATGTAAATGAATGATACATGCGACGCGGCATTTCTGAAAATGTGAGTCATTGCGTCACCATATTTAGAAAGCTGAACATGTAGCATTACAGCTAGTGTTGTCTCACAAAACTCATATATCGATACCTGTGACATTTACATAGATCGATGAGTCATATAATACCAGCTCATGAATTCACGTAGATTCGCATTGATGATTAATTGGTAGCAATGATAGTGGGACTAAATCAAACAAGAACAGACAGTTAACCAAGTATGCTACATTTGATTTCAGATTACTGATCAACTCGGATGTGCCATTCTTTGTTCCATCTCTAGTTGTATTTCTCCGGTTTCACAAACACCATTGAAAGACAGATATCAAATCAAATCAACTGCCAGGTTTTGAATTGGATATAGCTAAAATGACTCCTTCCTCGGTTTCCACTGCATAATTGCTAAACGTAGGCAACAAGAACCGATTCAACATTTGACTTAACAATTGGTTGTTAGAATATCACAAAATGCAAAAAACCTTACCTGATATATTAAATGAAATAATGTCTATAACCACTTATGTGTGTTTGTTGATGTATTCCAAATTACTAAATGTACC